CCTTCCTTCCCTCCCTCCTTCCCCTTCCCTCCTTCTCTCCTTCTCTCCTTCCTTCCCTCCTTCCTCTCTTTTCATATAGCAGTTACTGTGATAAAAGTTCAATTTTTACTGTCGACATACCTGGTGAATCCCTTGGTGAAAACCAACAGATCAACTTTGAGAATCCAAAGAAGCCAGGAAATGTAGATTGAATTCAGTTTGATCTGTATTTGACATAGCTGTGGTGAGAAAGCAGAATTTATTCAAGACCAGGAACACCTTTCCAAGTACAGAAAAGGGGAACTTGCTCAACCTTTTTCTATGTACTTGGAAAGAGAAAATGTTTCTACATGTTTTTTTTGTAAAGGAAATGTTTAAATACTTAATCGTAACTTTGAAGGAAAAACAAGAAACATCCGATTGAAAATCAGTCTGATCTCATCCTTTTTTTTACTTCTACAGAAATGAGGAAAAAAAATATGAAATTGGAACCAATGTTGGTTTCCTTCTAGATCGGCAAACATCAATGATTTTTGAAATGTTTCAATGAAAATTGGAAGTCGTTGAATGGATAAATAAATAAATATTCTGCAGCTTTGTAGTAATTATGAGGTTCGTTATAAAACGGAACAGGTTTTAGTTTTGGAATTCTGCTACCATGTCACTTCTAGCCTTTCTTTTCTCCAGATTACCCGTACCCAATTCCTGCAACCGTTCTTCATAACTTTTATCATCTTGTTCTTCTCTGCATTCATTCCAAAGTCTCAACATCTTTGTATAATGTGATGACCAAATCTGGATGCAGTATTCCAGATCTGATCTTACTAAGGTTTTATATAGTGGGACTAACAGTTCATGTGATTTTGATTCTGTTTATGCAACCAAGGCTTGTGTTTTTATTTTATTGCTTTATTCATTTTGGCTGCTACCACACACTCTTGTGAGCATCGCCATGAATGTTGCAGGCCCTTGTACTTGCACATGCGCTTGGCCCTGCCACAAAAGCTTGTCCCTGCTCTCTCCACTCTGAGGCCCCAACCCATAAAGGTGAGGAACTCTGCTCTAAGGCACATTATACTGAATGCACCAGAAACATCCACTACTGAAGTTGTAAACAAGTATTTGCATATAACAGTTATCATGATGAAAGTTCTCCCTTTGCTGTGGACATACCTGGTGACGGTTTGCAAGAATCCCTGGTGTGAACCAACAGGTGAGAACTCAAAAAAACCCAGAAAGCTACATTTCTTTGATGAATCCAGTTTGATCTGTGTTTGATGTGGATGCGGTGAGCAAGCAGAATTTGTTCAGCCTCACAAACACTTTTCAAATTACAGAAAAGGGGAACTTGCGAAACATTTTCTTATCTCTTTCGAATGAGAAAGTCTTTCGACACATTTTACGGAAACAAATATTTTAAGATTTAATCGTAGCTTCGAAGGAAAAAAAATGCCACCCTAAAATTCTGTCTACTTTCATCTCTGTTCATAACTTCTGGAAAAACGGGATCACCCTTGAAATTGAAGCTAAGTTCTGTCACATCCTTAGTCTACAAATATTGGTGATTTTTGAAATTCTGCATTAAATTTTACAGTTATTTGAATGGATAAATAAATAAATATTTTTGTAGCTTTCTGTTAGCTGTGAGGTTGATTGGAAGACTGAATGGATATTGTATATCAGGATATATTCTTGACAGTGTAGATTGAGTTGAAAAGGAGTATTTCCACCAATGAATTCAAAGTAAAAATAAATAAAAGCTTTAACCCTGTGGTGCTTTTAAAGATCCAGAAAACATCACATGGGTGGCTAAATACTTTTTTTAAACAGGAATCTTTCCAAACTGCCAGTCTTTACCTGGGAAATGATAAATAGCACTTTGTACTTATATACCACTTCATAGTGATTTGTAGCTTATTTAACCAGTTTACAGAGTCAGCATATTGCCCCCAACCATCTGGATGCTCATTTTACCAACCTCGGAAGGATGGAAGACTGAGTCAACTTTGTATCTGTCATGATTGAACTGCATTGTCAAAAAGGTAGCTGGGCTAGTTGGGCCAAGGGGCACTACTTATATTTCTATGTACTTATGACTGAAAGTTGACTATGGCCAACTGGGAATCTGCATGGTCAAAGTCTTTGCATCTCAGATGCTACATGTATGTCGCCTCTCACCTTAAATCCTTTCCTTGTGACTATCTTAATGCAAGTCAATCAACTTTAAAAAAAATTCTATTGAAAAAGAATAGAAATGATTGTGGTCATTTTTCTTTGTTCTTCCTGGTTCTATTTGTGCATGTGTGATCAACATACAGTAGAATTGAGAGTAGAATTCAGTCATACATTTGGAGCAATGGAAGAATAATTTCAAAGAAATGGATGATTTGGCAGGCAGAGAGGAAAAGGGGGAACAATCCAGTATTATATGAATCTTTGGGAAAAGTAGTTATGGAAAATGTGCCTCTCGGTGGCCATAGGAAAACACTAGACTTCTACACAACACAGTGAAATATTATTAATTTATCTGCTAAATGTATATCCTTCCTTTCTGTTAATTCAGAGTTCAAGTGGCTAACCAT